ATCTTTTGGGTCGGGCTGCATGCCCACTACTAGAAATTAGGTCTATGGCAACCCTTCCAAAACCGTGGCAATAGATACACTAGCCGTCCCTATAGGGCTATCGGAACGGATTTGGAGGCGTTCCGGGATTCAGTGTTACAATAGGTCTATTGGAACGGTTATTTGTAACGGTTTCAAAACCGTCTCCATATAGGGGGTATTGTAACGGTTACGGTACTGTTACCAGTGCTCTATATGGGAACGATTGTATTTTCTATTGGGACGGTTATAAACCATTGTGGTATAATTATTCCAGCGATTTTTTAAGTCTATTGCAACGGTTTTGATGATATATTGCAATAGTTTTTGTGATATTGGAACAATTATGAGTACCCTACTGCAACGGATATTGTTACATATTGCAACGTTTATTAGGGGATGCTATTATTATTTGCTTTGGTCTACTGGAACGGTTATATGCTCTATTGCAACAATTCACAATTGAATTTCTGATATTTATGGAAGCAAAATGAGGAATATTTTCCTATGCAATGAAATTTTTTAACTCATAACTTATATAAACCACAAAATAAAATTAAAATATTCAACTAGCATTACTCATATACAAAAACAAAATGTGAATACATTGTTTGATCAACAATTCAAAAGTCAAAATAGATGAGTTTGCATACAAAAAGTTCTAAACCAAAATATCTTTGAACATGATGATAGAAAGTTTAATAACGATCAACAACACTCAGGTAAGGTCTTCGTCACCGCTTTCTTCCGCAATCGCTGCACCTATAAAAGACAACCAGAAATAATTAAATAAATTTTTTAAAAGATAATTGAATCACAAAGTAATTGAATGACCAATTTGATAACTCCAAAATTTTCAACCTGCTCAAAACATCATTATCCTTGTTGTGGTGCATATCCAAATCAGATGAATTCTCTTACCTGCCTATGAAAAGCAGAATGTTTAACCTAAACAGTTCCACATAACTAAGCTATGTCCTTTGTCTTTTGAACTTACAGGTTTCCGAGATACAAGCAGAATACTTTCCACCAAAAATTGACATTGTTATTCAAAATGAGATACCAACAGATTTTTACATTATTGTCTCTGGAGCTCTGGTACGTGCCATTACCGTCAACTTTTGCTCTTACTACTCCTACACAGTTAACTGGTCAGTGGTTGAAAACTGCAAGAAGTGGTTACATACAAGAATGGAATAGAACAGGTTGGTTATCACATTCTCAAATTTTTTGATGCTGCTCCTAAGTTTTCTTTGTCGTCCTAATCTTTACTAGACCAAATAAAAGTTGGCTAACTTAAAGAAAGAAGAAGAGAAGGAATAATGATTATTTATATCCAAGTGCCCGGAGACAACAGTGCCAAAAAGTCCACGGTGTATACTGATTTCAACTATCCTATAAAAAAAGGATAGAAGATGAGTATTGTTTGGTTGCTAGAAATAGTTTGAGAGAACAATCAAATCTATTCTAATAAGTGTACTTTCTCATGTCAAATTCAAGCCAATCACATTTCTTACATTTATCAGTTATTTTATCAACAAGAGATTACAGAACCTCTATATTCGTTTAAAGAAACTTCAGAGATTAAACATGATAAGAAGCTTAAGTAGGATATATGACATCAATCACATAAAAATTTTGGCATAAAGATCTTGAAAGCTGGTGGAAACTATCTTGTAAAAGTGAGGACAACGCCTATAGTATATTTAAACTACATCTCAAGCTTGATCTAGGAAAAATTCTCAGCTCGAGGAAGTGAATTATCAGAAAACAAATGAGATTTGCTAGTTTGCTAGTAATGTCATATTCACCACTGGCTTGTATTTTGCCAATACTTCAGCCTGAAACAGGTTTAGAAACATCAAGTTAGAAACCTGAAAAACTTCATTGAAGGCTTGTGTTTTTGCTACGATGAAGGTCACTTTTCATGGAAAATGTTCTCAGTGTTTGGCTGGGGAACGAAAAATATTTTCTGGAGAAAGAATATGGTAATATTAACAAATCGGAGAGTGTTCTATGAACATTTTGAGTACTAAAGATTAATATTATTGTCCAAGTGTTATTTGGAGCGTGATCATAAGTGAGAGAAGTCATTTTACCATTTTGATTCTGTTAATCAAACACCAAAAAATAACTTCCTCATCGAAAACATTTTCATGAAAAATGACTTGCGTCGTGCCAAATAGACCGTTAGAGTGGGGAATGAAGGACCTCATATGGAGAATGGACGTGGGATTTGTGTGTTCCATTCAATGGATTAGTATCCTTGTCATAGGAATTAGCAAGTTAAGGCATAAGCTATTGAACTGTATATAGAGAGAGAGGAATACAATAGCTTTTGACGGAGTAGAGAAGGATTTTGTACACTAGAGGAATACAACAAAATGCGCATATGAAGTACCAAACTAAGACAGTAGATCTTACAAAAATTATTAAATTTTCAATGAGTTAATACCTGGAATGAGTTGGCCTTCTTTATCGATACCAGTAGATGGACGACAGATTGGTTGCAATGTTGTTTGCTGAGCAGATGAAGCTTCTCCCAATGAATTATCACCCAATGCCGCCAGAATAATGTTAGCATCAATATCAATTCCTGAACGTTGAAGTCGTGCAAGGACATCTGCAACAACTTCTTGACGGATAGTTGCCTTTTGTTCTTCAATTTTTTCCTCCATTCTTTGTATCTTCTCCTCCAATTTTTGTATAGAATTTGAAGTATTCGAAGAGGGTTCAAAACATCCTACTTTCGCTCTCAAAGAAGTTCTTNTCGTCACTGCTTTCTTCCGCAATCGGTGCACCTACAAAAGACAACCAGAAATAATTAAATAAATTTTTTAAAAGATAATTGAATCACAAAGTAATTGAATGACCAATTTGATAACTCCAAAATTTTCAAACGCTCTAAATTCTTAAATTTTTGGCAGAGTTTCCTTTGTAAATAGGACCATCCCAAAATTTTCAACCTGCTCAAAACATCATTATCCTTGTTGTGGTGCATATCCAAATCAGATGAATTCTCTTACCTGCCTATGAAAAGCAGAATGTTTAACCTAAACAGTTCCACATAACTATGCTATGTCCTTTGTCTTTTGATCTTACAGGTTTCCGAGATACAAGCAGAATACTTTCCACCAAAATTGACATTGTTATTCAAAATGAGATACCAACAGATTTCTACATTATTGTCTCTGGAGCTATGTTACATGCCATTACCATCAACTTTTGCTCTTATTACTCCTACACAGTTAACTGGTCAGTGGTTGAAAACTGCAGGAAGTGGTTACATACAAGAATGGAATAGAACAGGTTGGTTATCACATTCTCAAATTGTTTGATGCTGCTCCTAAGTTTTCTTTGCCGTCCTAATCTTTGCTAGACCAAATAAAAGTTGGCTAACTTAAAGAAAGAAGAAGAGAAGGAATAATGATTATTTATATCCAAGTGCCCGGAGACAACAGTGCCAGAAAGTCCACGGTGCATACTGATTTCAACTATCCTATAAAAAAAGGATAGAAGATGAGTATTGTTTGGTTGCTAGAAATAGTTTGAGAGAACAATCAAATCTATTCTAATAAGTGTACTTTCTCATATCAAATTCAAGCCAATCACATTTCTTACATTTATCAGTAATTTTATCAACAAGAGATTACAGAACCTCTATATTCGTCTAAAGAAACATTAGAAATTAAACTTGATAAGAAGCTTAAGTAGGATATATGACATCAATCACATAAATTTTTTGGCATAAAGATCTTGAAAGCTGGTGGAAACTATCTTATAAAAGTGAGGACGCCTATAGTATATTTAAACTACATCTCAAGCTTGATCTAGGAAAAATTCTCAGCTCGAGGAAGTGAATTATCAGAAAACAAATGAGATTTGCTAGTTTGCTAGTAATGTCATATTCACCACTGGCTTGTATTTTGCCAATACTTCAGCCTGAAACAGGTTTAGAAACATCAAGTTAGAAACCTGAAAAACTTCATTGAAGGCTTGTGTTTTTGCTACGACGAAGGTCATTTTTCATGAAAACAATATGTTCTTTTTCATGGAAAATGTTCTCAGTGTTTGGCTAGGGAACGAAAAATATTTTTTGGAGAAAGAATATGGTAATATTAACAAATCGGAGAGTGTTCTATGAACATTTTGAGTACTAAAGATTAATATTATTGTCCAAGTGTTATTTGGAGCGTGATCATAAGTGAGATAAGTCATTTTACCATTTTGATTCTGTTAATCAAACACCAGAAAATAACTTCCTCATCGAAAATATTTTCATGAAAAATGACTTGCGTCGTGCCAAATAGACCGTTAGAGTGGGGAATGAAGGACCTCATATGGAGAATGGGCGTGGGATTTGTGTGTTCCATTCAATGGATTAGTATCCTTGTCATAGGAATTAACAAGTTAAGGCATAAGCTATTGAACTGTATATATAGAGAGAGAGAGGAATACAATAGCTTTTGACGGAGTAGAGAAGGATTTTGTACACTAGAGGAATACAACAGAATGCGCAACCTAATCAATGCCAAAGAAACGTTCTTGGGTAATGATTTTCTAACAGCAACTTGGAGCAAGTAATGCATTATAAAATGAGCATCATGACTCTTGTACTCCGATATTTTCATCTGTTTTTCATGCACACAATGTGATATATTCGAGGCACAACCTTTTGGCAATTTGGCATTTTTAAAGACGGTGCAAAATCGCATCTTCTCTTCTGGATTCATGTAGAAACAAGCTTTAGCCAAAGAAATTGTTCCACTTACAACATCTTGTATTGGTTGAAGCTCTTTTCGTATTCCCATTTCTTGCAAATCGTAACGAGAATTTACATGATCTTTTGACTTTCCATCTATCTCCAATGATGTCCCAAGAATACTATCACATATATTTTTCTCAATGTGCATCGTATAAAGATTGTGCCTCAATTTGTTAGTTTCCCAGTATGGTAGTTCAAAGAAGATGGATCTTTTCTTTCATGGACACTTGTTAACCCGAGACCTTTTCTTTTGGCCCTTTCCAGAGACATTCTTGAATTCACGCAACTCTTCGAGGATTTCTATACCCGACAAAGGAGTAGGTGCAAGTCTATGATCCTCTTTACCATCAAATGATTTCTTATCTCTTCGAAATGGATGTTCAGGAGGCAAAAACGCCCGATGACCCATGTAGCACATCTTACAACTATGCTTGAGATATTGAGAACATGTGCCATGATTACAAGTGGGGCATGCAAATTTTCCCTTTGTGCTCCATCCAGAAAGCATTGCTAGTGTAGGAAAATCACTAATTGTCCACATTAACGCTGCACGCATTTGAAACATCTGGTTGGATTCGACATCAAATGTTTCTACACCGAATTCCCATAGTTCCTTCAATTCAGCAATTAGTGGTTGTAGATACACATCTATATCATTTCCTGGAGATGACGGACCTGGGATGATCATTGACAACATTATATACTCTGGCTTCATGCAAATCCAAGGCGATAGATTATAGTTCATTAACATAACAGGCCATGTGCTATGGGAAATGCTCATTGTTCGAAACGGATTGAAACCATCACTTGAAAGACCCAATCTAACATTGCGAGGGTCGCTAGAGAATTCAGGGTGCAAGGAGTCGAATTCCTTCCAAGCATCACCATCAGCAGGATGTCTTATATTTCCATCATTCGGTCGTTCAGTGGCATGCCATCTCATAGCTTCAGCTGTTTCGGGACACATGAATATTCTCTGAAGTCGAGGCTTTAATGGAAAGTACCTTAAAACTTTTGCAGGGGTTTTGGTCTTTTTATTAGTCAAGACATTAACAACATTCTTCCATCTAGAAGACCCACACACAGAACAAGTATCTGCATTTACATTGTCATTCCAAAATAACATGCAATCATTAGGACATGCATCTATTTTTTCATAATGAAGACCCAAATCTTTTATCATGCTTGTAGCCTTGTAGAAAGACTCGGGTAGCCGAGCAAATGGAAATGCCTCTTTTAACAACTCCAACAAGTCTGTGAATGCCACATTACTCATCCCATGAATGCATTTAAACAAGTACAACCGAACCTAATTTGGAGAAATTCTCACACCCTGGATATAATTCTTCTTTCCCTTCTTCTACTAATTTAAAGAATCTTTTTGCATCTTCTGATGGTCCATCCCTCACTCCTTCATGTCCCAAATCATCCTCGACATTTCGAAATGTATCATGAAGTAATCCACCAATATCATCATACATGTCAGAACCTTCATCATTACTGCTTGGGCATCGAGTCTTTCCGAGGAAAATCCTTCCCCGTGGAAAACCCATTTGTTGTATCCATGAACAAAACCATTAACAATCAAGTGATCTTCCACCACATTCCTATGATGCCAAAAACAATTAGCGCACACTTTACAAGGGCATAATATTTGATTTCCTTGAGAAGCTCGTTCAAATGCTTTATCAAGAAATTTATTCACTCCTTGTATGTCCTCATCAGTTCACCTTCGAAGGCCCATCCACCTTTTATCTCCGTTGTCCATTAAATTAATTTTATCCTACATAACACCAAAACAACTAGTATAAAATTGGTTTATATACTCCTAATAAAAAAATCGAATAATAAGAAAGATAGAAAAAAGTCACTTATTGTCAAAATTATATGGATTTCACTATTGCAAAATTTAACAGTAATTTTATGTTTATAGTTTATTTGTTATGATGTTGTAACTTAATCTAGTCATATTCGTCAAATCCCTTTCTCCTAATCAAACAAATTCCATAGATGATCTGAAAGGAATATGGGCCTTCTAATCCTAAGTTGATAGACTTAAAGACTTGCATATTCTTCTGATATAAAACAATAACATGTATAATTTTACTGCAGCTGAAAATTTAGAGTTTCTGCCTCAGGAAATCTTCTTACCTGTTGACCAAAGAAGACTCCAGTAATCTGTATGTGGCAGAAGTATTCAACTTATTGATAATGTGCAACGCTCGCGAGCTAATAAATGCATTGTCATGGTATCTGCATATGAGGACAACCAAATAAATCAACCAAGATTCAGCATATATAAGCACTTTCAGGAAAATAAAAATTAAAGAACTACTTTCTGTTAACTAAACAATAGAATAACATATGAGGTCTCCATGAATTAATTGTCGAAACACTTAAGGAAATAATCGATTGGGCAGATGTTTCTAGCTAGTGGACAATTTTGTTTGGTTTAAACTCAACACCCTCCTTTAACACCCAAAAACTTATACTACTAGAATACATCTTAGTTGCACTGGATGTGTATTTTAACATATTGTAACAGGTTATTATCAGCCTAATTTTTCAGGTTATTATTCCTACTTCTTAAGGACGATTACTTGCAATTATCTTTTAGGTGACCAGATAATGCGATATTAATACATAAAGTTAAACTCAGATGCAAATGCCTTTACAGTAGGCTCCAATGCCATTAAGATAAACTTAATTTGTGGTTGGATTTCAGTTCTTGGAACTTAGAATTTTGAGTTCATGCTCTATGCGAGTCTAATTCAGTCTGCCACAGAAGCGATCTCATAGTAGAACAAGAAGGAAGTTCAGTTCAAGACTCAAAAAATCAGAAACTCAAACCTTTCAAAACAGAACTTTCAACTGTTTTTCAACTGAATCCCAAGTAAGCCAATGAACTTCCAACTGTTATCTAACAATTTCAGTCGATTCGACAAGTTTTGGACTCAATTTCGATAGAGAAAACAAAACACATTATTCCCAGAAAGAACAAAAGAATGGTAGCAGCAACAACTACAGCAGATCAACAACAACATGCATCTCTCGAAGCTAGATTTACAGAAAGAACTAAGCATTGTTAATTGCTTCCAGCATGAAATCAGGGGCTAGATTCATGGAAATTAGGCAAATGCAACAGGGAAGACAGTAACAACACATAAAACTAACAGATAAAATGTGATCGATAACACGAAGAGTCAAGTAGCAACAAATAATAAGAAAGCCCTTAATGTAAATCAAAAAATTTCCAGTTTTAGATGAAATCAAAAACTGGAAATAATATAATGCAAACAAAGGACATAGTAAATTAATGGGTTTAGATGAAATCTTACGAGAGAAAGAAAGCAGAAGAAGCAGCGAAACAATTTTCCAGCGAAATACTTTTCCGACGAAACAATAGCGAAAGCGAACAACCACGAACACAGAGAAATACCGATAATCTATATCTGAGATTCGCTTATATTAGCCGAAATGGTTGTCTTTCGTCGGAATTGCTTCGTCGGAGTAAGCAGTTCGTCGCGATTTGAAGAGGAGAGAGACGACTTAAGCCTTAGACACACGAACGTTTGAAGGCGGATTTATCTAGGATACTGGGATGAGAGACGAAGGTTTTATGATTTATAACCCTATAGTATAATTTAATTTTTTTGTGGGGTCACAAGTTATTTTTACTTTATTTTGATAAATATGTTGGAGGGAAATCAGGGAGGGAAAAATAAACCGTCCCCATAAATATTTTATTTCAAAAAATCGTTCCTATAAATATCCGTATAGTATCGCCTCATTAAACCGTCCTCATAGCTTAATTTATGGTGACGGTTACTATCCTATTGGGACGGTTTTTCTTCAGAAGTGTACCAAAAGCCTTTTCACTCTATTGGAACGGTTAATACCGTCCCAAAAAATAATCTATTGTAACAGTTTTATAACCGTTACCAAATAACTGTTCCAATAGAACCATTTTTTAGTAGTGTTAGACCAGTCATGTCGTCGTATGACCAGGCAAATATGTCTTCATACTCTCTTAGAAACTCTGTATATTCTTTCTTCTCTGACGGTGACAAGTGAACGCTGATTCGTTTTTCTTTGATGTTTTTTGCATCTCCCAGGTTAACAATCTCACTCTCGTCCAAGTTGGACTTAGGTCTATTCTCGAAATTCTCGACTTCCTTAACAATATCTTCCGGTATATCATCTTCCTCTGAATCTATGTCCGTTTGTTACGTTGTCTCGTTGCATGTCACAGTCATTGGTTCATCAAGATAAGTAATAGTAATGCTATATGTGTAAAGTAATGAGAGAAAAATAATAAGAGAAAGATTTATAAGAAAACTGAAATACTTTAATAAATTCCATAAATGTTTTGAACATTGGAGCTCTTTCTTGCGAGAAATAAAAAGTCGAAAGGAAAATAAACTAGTAAAATAAAATAGCGCGTGGCGCTTTGTTCAGCCTTGCTACCCCGAGGCACGCCGGGCTCTGGTGGTTCTGACGGTACAGTTGTTGAGGCGTGCTCCTCTGTTCACAGCCTGTATGGAAGGGCCTTCCTCCCCCTCCTCCTCAAAAATGACACAGCAGTCCATATCATCATCAAGTTCCTCATTGCTGCTAATGCTTCCTCTTCTTCTGACCCATAGATGACTTCGACTGGTTGAAAAGTCTGCTCCAAATGGGGTATCGGCTGCTCCAATGGATAGTAAGGACCGCGCCAGGGTGGCGACCATTCCTTTAATTCTTTCCAGGTATACTCATATCCCAATCTGAAGGTGGTGCCATGCTTCTTGAGCTTGATGGGCTTAGCGATTCCTTGGAGATTCTTGCCAAGTTCATACCCGCTCCAATTCAGTATGCTTTCAATTTTGTTGTCCCACCATTTGTCTTTATCGACGGCGTCGACTCGTTCGATGTGGTGGTAAGTTTCCCCACCTATTCTTCTTCTTCCTCCAATTGCTGGAATGGTCTGGCGACTATATATGGGATTACCACCATCACCATGAATGATCACCTCCTGGTGATTCCTCTCAAATTTCACTGCCTGATGTAGTGTTGATGCCACGGCCCCGGCGGCATGAATCCATGGTCGTCCTAACAGTAGATTGTAAGATGCCGGCACGTCTGTCACTTGAAAATCAACATCAAACCAAGTAGGACCCATTTGCAACCGTAAGCTAATTTCCCCAATAGTGGACCTTTGAGAACCGTCGAAAGCCTTAACATTGATGTCCCCATCCTTGATTTCATGCAGCCCTTTTCCTAATGTCTGAGTGTTACCAACGGACAAATATTGAGACTGGACCCTCCATCGGCCAGGATCCTGGTAATAAAATAATCTTTGCACTGCATAGTGATGTGTAATGCCTTGTTGTGACTCAATCCTTCCGGTGGCAGATCATCCTCGTGGAAGGTCATTTTGTGACTCTCCAACACTTGACCTACCATGTTTTCCATTTCTCCTCCAGTGATGTTGCTTGGTACATATACCTCACTCAGCACCTTCAACAAGGCATTTTTGTGTGCATCGGATCTCTGTAGCAAAGCCAGGATAGAGATCTGAGCCGGTGTTTTGTTTAGCTTGTCAATGATCGAGTATTCCTTGGCTTGTATCTTTCTCCAGAGATCATCAGGCCCGGTTTCAATGATGGCTTGTCGACCAGAGGTCTACTTACTTGACTCAGCCAAGTGTTCTGGGGTATAAACCCTGCCGGTTCTTGTCATACCCTATGCCGCAATGGTTTCCCCGAACTTGGCCTTCCCTGTCCTTCTTGCCTCGGCTGTGTAGTCCCATGGTATGGCTTTTGTGCGGAATGGTGTTACGGCTGTCATTGCTACTGGAATAGGTACCCTTGCCTTGGAAGGTAATACAACAACTTCAAATGGCTCAGGCACCTTTGGGGACCCAAACTCGACCTCAATTGGTTTTGGCGTTTTTGCAGAGGCTGGTGTTTCAAACTCAAGTGGTATGGACATGTTCACCTCGGCATCTTCACAAGGCTGAATTTGAACTACAATCGGATTAAGGGTGACTGTTGGTTTCTTTGGATCGTCACCTTCTGTGATTAAACCAATTGATCCTTTGGGATCCCAATCATCCTCTATTTCAATCATATGAACACCTCCGCCCTTGTGGTCTGGTAGAGGGTTGTTGCGGACATTCAGAGCAGGCTCCTTTGCCACGATAATCTTGTTGTCAATCAAAGCCTGGATCTTGTCCTTCAGGGAGCGGCATTCATCAATGGTATGCCCCTTCATGCCAGAATGGTATGCACAGGTTTTATTTGGGTTGACCCATTGGGAAGGGTTTTCAGGGGTTTTGGCAGGGATATGGGTGACATAACCAGCAGCTTTGAGTCTTTCATACAGCTGGTCGATTGGTTCGGCAATGGCGGTATACTGTTTGGGAGGTCTGCGGTCGAAATTTGGTCGAGGTCTAGGAAAGTTTTGGCGAGTGGGAGGTGATTGATAGTGGGATGGTTGAGTGTTGTAAGCTTGGTAGACGTTTGCGGGTTGGGAATATCGGGGTGAAACAGGTTGGTATGTAGGAGGTGGA